TGTAGATAGCCTTTTTGTTTGTTTTCTCTTCATGAATGCCATTTTTATTATACTAGTGGATTTTGATTTTTCTTGGGTTTTTATGGCTGTGGTAGTTATTTTTCAGGAACCAAACCCAGTATTCCCTTGAGAATTTCTTGTAAGGGTGGTCGTGTGGTGGTGAACTCCTGCAGTTATTGTTTGTCTGAGAAATATACTATTTGCCCTTCATTTCGGAAGGATAGCTTTGCAGGGTAGGGTATTCTTGGCTGGCAATCTCTGTCTTTTAGTATTTTGAATATATCATCCCATTCCTTTCTGGCTTTTAGGGTTCATGATGAAAAGTCTGATGTTAGTCTGATTGGGGTTCCTTTATAAGTGATTTGACGCTTCTCTCTTGCAGCTTTTAAGTTCTCTCTTTGTCTTTGAGTTTTGCCAATTTGACTATAACATGTCTTGGAGAAGCCCTTTTTTGGGTTGAATATGTTTGGAGATCTTTGAGTTTCCTGGATCTGAAGTTCTGTGAGTTTTTTCTATACCTGGGAAGTTTTCTGCCACTATTTTGTTGAATATGTTTTTAATGCAATCTCCTTTTTCCTCCCCTTCTGGAATACCCATGACTCGGATATTTGAGCGCTTAAGGTTGTCTGATATCTCTCTCAGATTTTCTTCAATGCCTTTGATTCTTTTTTCTTTTTTTTTTTTTTTTTTTGTCTGCCTGTGTTATTTCAAACAGCCCATCTTCAAGTTCAGAGGTTCTCTCTTCAACTTCCACTAGCCTGCTGGTTAAAGTCTCTGTTGTGTTTTTTATTTCGCCGAATAAATTCTTCAGTTTGGCAAGTTCTGCTACATTTTTTTTCAGGGCATTGATTTCCTTGTACATTTCTTCTTTCAGGTCCTGTATACTTTTCCTCACATCATCGTGTTGTCTGAGTTTTCTTGTATCTCATTTAGTTTCCTTAGAATTATCACTTGAAATTCCTTGTCAGACATTTCAAGGGCTTCTTGTTTTATAGGATCTAGATCTTGAGAGTTATTGCCCTTTGGTGGTGTACTTTCCTGATTTTTCATATTTCTGGAGTCTTTCCTTTGATGTTTAGTCATTGTGGCAGGGGGTTTCATGGTCCACTGGTTTGACACTATTGTCTGGCTAGGATTCTTCTGGGACTGCCAATTTGGTATGGGTGCCTCAGTGTCTGCTCGGTTGCCTACTAGTGCCTTGGGTGTGTGGTTGCCTCGGATCTTGGGCATCTCAGGGGAGGCACCTCTCTGGTCAGCACATACTCAGCCGGGCTGGGGATAGAGTTGGGCGGTGGTGGCAAGGCCTACCTGCTGGGTCGCACACTGGCACCACAGGGTCTGTGGTCTCTGTAGATCTTGGGCTTCTCCCACTGTGCACCTCTCTGATCGTAAAATGAAGGTTTAAAGTGTCTGTCTTAAAAGAAGTTAATAAAGCTCTTGTGAAACATGAAAAAAAGTTATATATAAATTCACAATGGTAGTTTTGGTGACCTTTGACTTTAAACTTACATTGATGGTGCCTGGCCAATTTTTTCTTCTTTTGAAAAGTGTCATTGCTTTTTTTTTTTTTTTTTTTAATGTTTTTGGATTTTTGCAAAAATTTCATCTGTAGAAATTGCAAAGTTAGGGGCCGGCCTGTGGCTCACTTGGGAGAGTGTGGTGCTGATAACACCAAGGCCCTGGGTTTGGATCCCTTTATAGGGATGGCCGGTTAGCTCACTTGGTAGAGTGTGGTAGTGCTGACAACACCAAGTCAAGGGTTCAGATCCCCTTACCAGTCATCTTAAAAAAAAGAAAATTGCAAAGTTAAAACATAAAGATAACTGAAAATCTCACCACCTCCTAGTTTAACCACTGTTAACGTTTTGGTGAATAGCCTTCCAGATAGCTTTCTAGACATGTATGAGGGGACTTCAAAAAGTACACAGAAAGATTCATATTATCTAATTGTAATTTTCGACAAACTTTTTGAAAGTTACTTGTGTGTGTGTATATATATATATATATATATATTTAGATAGGCAAATATATAAACAAATTTTTATAAATGAGATTATGTTATATATATTGTTCTTTCATATTTTCACTTTCCATTTTAATAAGTTTAGACTTACAAAATCTTTTTTTAGGGCCGGGTGGTGGCTCACTCGGGAGAGTGTGGTGCTGAAAACACTAAGGCCACGGGTTTGGATCCTATATAGGGATGGCCGGTGAGCTCACTAGGTGAGCATAGTGCTGACAACACCAAGTCAAGGGTTAAGATCCCCTTACTGGTTATCTTTTAAAAATAAAAAAATCTTTTTTTACATGCAACATGAATTTTTTGAATACCTACCCTCTTGCAGGCAATGTACTGGACAATGAGAATACAGTAGTAAAAAGACAGGAAAGCTTCTGCCCATATGGAGCTCACATTCTAGAGGAGCAGAGAGCTACTAGAGCAAGCCTAACCTGAAATCTACTCTCTAGATATTTTAGTAGTATGAGCCTATGAACTACCTTTATTTCTTAAATTAGTTTGTTTCATATGTTCTGTTGATTTCAATTGAAATCATCCTTAGTCATACAAGGGTACTTCAAAAAGTTCATGGAGAAATAGAATTAAAAGGCAATATGAATCTTTCCATGAACTTTTTGAAGTACCCTCATATGCAACCACGGGCTCCTCACCTTTCATTATTCTCTGCCTAGTATGAGGGGTCTTCAAAAAGTTTATGTAGGGCCGAGCCCGTGACGCACTTGGGAGAGTGCGGCACTGGGAGCGCAGCGGCGCTCCTGCCGCGGGTTCGGATCCTATATAGGGATGGCCGGAGCAGCGCTCCTGCCGCGGGTTCGGATCCTATATAGGGATGGCCGGTGAGCTAACTGGCTGAGCGCAGTGCGGCCAGTCTCGAAAAGGACAAAAAAAAAAAAAAAAGTTCATGTAAAATCCATATTATAAAAAAATTGTGCATAGATTTCAAAATTTTTTGCACCAAAATAAACTCATACTAACTTGTTATAGCATGTCTGAATAGTATCTAGTTTGGGGCAGTAAGAAGGATGAGACATTAGTTTGAAAAAAGTCCTTATCAGAGTAACATGAATTCTGCTGAAATTGAATCAAGAACAAACATCAAATTTATGGTGAAGCTTGGGCAGAAGAATGTCAAGTTATTGGATACTTTATGAAAAGTTTATGGGGACGGTGCCCCAGAGAAATCAGCAATTTGCAAATGGATAACTTGTTTTAAGAAGAGATAAGAGGATGTTGAAGATGAAGGCTGCAGGGGCAGACCATTCACATCAATTTGCGAGGAAAAAATTAGTCTTGTTTGTGCCCTAATTGAAGAGGATTGATGATTAACAACAGAAACAATAGCCAACACCATAGACGGCTCAATTGGTTCAGCTTACATAATTCTGATTGAAAAATTACAGTTGAGCAAACTTTCTGCTCAATGTGTGCCAAAACTGTTGAGCCCTGATCAGCTACAGACAGGAGCGGAGCTTTCAATGGTAATTTTAAACACGTGGGATCAATATCTTGAAGTATTTCTTTGAAGAATTGTGACAGGAGGTGAAACATGGTTTTATCAGTATGATGCTGAAGACAAAATACAATCAAAGTCGTGGCTTCCAAGAAGTGGAAGTGGTTCAGTCAAAGCAAGAGCAGACCAGTCAGGAGCAAAGGTCATGGCAACAGTTTTTTGGGATGCTCAAGGCATGTTGTTTGTTGACTTTATGGAGGACCAAAGAACATCTGCTTATTATGAGTTTTTTGAGAAAGCCAGAGTTTTAGCAGAAAAGCACCCAGGAAAGATTCACCAGAGAGTCCTTCACAACAGTACTCTTGTTCATTCCTCTCATCAAAGAGGGCAATTTTTTTTTTCTTTTTGTCTTTTTTCGTGTCCGGCAACGGATCGCAACCCTCAGTGTTGCGCCCGCACCTCACTCAGCCAGTGAGCGGGAACCGGTCTGTATGTGGGATCCGAACCCTCGGCGGGAGCGCCA